TAAATGTGTCACGTTTCTAATGTAAATATTTATGTACCACCCCGATGTTACACATGACTTCGGAGTAATTTGTTACAGTAACCATAGAAGAATAAGCTTTACAAATTTGATTGTTAATTGTTAATTAAAAAAAAAAAGATCTTTTTCCTCATGTTCATTTATTTTTATCCAGATCAAAGGTCTATTTTGTCAATCAGATGTTTTTTTTCAAGCCTACATCACCATAAAAGAATAAATTTCAATTGTTAAAAAAATCAACTAAGCTTTTTTTTTCTTAATTTAAAGAAAAAAAGATCCTTCGCAAAGAAGAACCTCGTGTGAATCAAAAGCCATTTGCGAATTTCGATTGTTAAAATCTTTTGTCCTGATCTTTTCCTCGTGTTTATTTATTTTTATCCCAGATCAAAGGTCAATTTGATTGATCAGCTGTTTTTTTCAAGCCTACATCACCATAGAAGAATAAGCTTCACGCAAACATCAAAAGTCATTTACAAATTTCGATTGTTTAAAAAAAATTAGCTAAGCTTTTTTTTCTTAACTGATCAACACGTTTTATTTGTTTTTCCAGAAAGGAAATTTTTCATTAATCAAAACGATTTTATTGTTTTCTCCAAAAGGAAATCAGATCACTCACCATCCTTCAAATGGTCATAATCCAAAAAAATTTTTTTTAATTCAATACGAACAATCAAAAAAATTTGCATGAACATTTTTAAAATTGACAACGAAATAAACTGTTTTTGAACCCAAGTCTTGTGACCAGAAAATATCACCAACACGTTGTGTGACAAACCTTTCACGATCTGAAGTAAAAAAAGGTTCCAAGACAAGACAAGACCATCAATTTTTGGTCATTTTGAATGGTCCGAAATGTTGGTGCAAGACAAAGACCTAATGGTAGACAGTGGTTGACACCATGCAAAAAACATCTAAAGCGAAACACGATTTCCTTTCAGTCAAATATCTGTTTCGCTCAACCTTGACGTTTTGAACCAAAACAGATAAGTTTTTCAGTTTTACAAATCATGACAAACAGATAACAATTGGGATTCACATGGTATGGTGACGTAAAATAACCACAAACATTTATAATTTTTTTGGAAAATGAAAATATTCCTGTTCAAATTTCAACTTTATTAATTTTAACAAATTTCAAATCAATTTGCAAATCATTTCAAGCCAGCGCAGCAAAGAAAAAAAAAACAACTCATCACAAAGTTTTACCCTTTGATTTTGATCTCATCCTTCCCCAAAAATTCAGTTTATCAAAGTTGAAAAAACAGGATGTTTCGATTCGTGGTGATTCGTACTGTTACTGAACTGAACTGAACTGAACTGAACTGAACTGAATCTGAGTCTTCTTTACAAACGAATTATTTCCTGTGTGACCAAACATTTCAAAATTGGGTAAAGTCGTTAGATTAGGGAAACATACAAAAAAAGGGGAAACATTACACAAAATATAAAAAATCTACACAAAAATTACGACATCGAGTAAGGCACCATAACAGGAAACCTTTTCTTCTTTTATATGTGTTAATCAATCCAAAGATATAAAATTCATGATAAGCTTAAAATCTTATTTTCACTTTGGCATTGGCTTGGTTGTACTGGTTTTATTCAATTTCAATCTGGCTGATACTTTTCTAGTTGGTACTAAAAAAAATGTAATGGATTTATCATTAAAAAAAAATATTTATTTACCACATTTTTATGAAATGCTATTCACTCCCAATAAGCTTGGTCTTTGTGTGATTTCGCAATATTACAGACAAGTAAACATTTTTCACATTTAAATTTGTTAATTAATCACTAATATAATCTTAAACTTTCTTAAATTTACAGGTATAAAAAAAGGATATATATTTTTTTTTAGTGTTTTGTATATTTTCATGTTTCTAATTATCCTTTGTTTGTACTACTCTCAAAATGTCAGCAAGGCGTCACAGGAAACGTAGTGATACTGATGTACCTGTAAATCTATGACACCTTTATCTATTAAAGAAATACTTGGTTCTCGTGTGTATGCTGATTGTAATTCTACTTTATTTTAAGTTATAAACACTAGAGCCAAATGACAACAATAAATGTAATATTTTATTATTTTATTACCTGCAAATTTTTTTATCACCATCAAAAATGTCGTTGATTCTATTCATGATCAGATTGATAGAAATCACTACAAAAACTAATGAAACATTCTCTGGCGAGGTGGTGTTTTGGCTAAATGAGAGATTTTGGTTATTTAGAATTCAAGATGTTTAATGGATATTTATTTCATGATATAATTAAAGGTTGTGTATATTCATTTGTGGGATCTTTTTTTTGATGCCAAATTAAAGTAGGTTTTCTGCTGCAAGTAGGATAATATTTCAATGTATTAATTATATCCTCTCATATTATTTATTAGTTCGTAGTTCACCAAGCAATCAAACTCGACATACAGATCAATGGTCTGGAGAAGCCTTAAGAATCCTTGCCATTGGCAATGACATTTTCCGAAGAGGTTATGAAGTTATCAAGATAGATGATGTTTAAGATTTCACGTCAAGTGTACAATGCTTTTCGAAAGAAGACAAGGATAAAAAAGATGTGGAGTTATCGGTAGCAGATTACACAAGCAAAAGTATCACGTTTCATGATTCTGAAGGTTTGTATGTTGGTGAGAAGCGAGAAGCTATTATTGCAAACAGGCATTCTTAAATCCAAGGAATTTATCATTATCATCATCCAACAGCACAAATAAAAAACACAAAGTTGCCTCCATCACTAAAAGATTGAAGAGTGTAGAATCAAGATTATTTCACAGTTTATTATCATCATCATCATCAACCACAACAAATTCTCCACGGATATCTTCGGCATTATCTTCTTCCTTGTCAACTTTCTCTTCACAAACACGTTTGATGTTGTCTTCCTCCATTTATCAACAGCAACAACAGAAGCAACAGGTAGAAGTGGTAAAAGATCCTGGTTATAATGATTAGATGTTGCCGATACTAATATCAATGATAAAAAGGTTTCAACCAACTGAAAATGTTAATAAACAAACATGAAATAAGATCAAAAACTAAAAAAAAATAAAAATAAAACGTAACAACTGGAAACGTTGATAAAACAAACATGAAGATGATGACCAAAATCTTTTATGAAAGAGAATGTTCAAATAAAGAAGTTCCTATATATAGTGCAGGACACCTAGTCCCACAACTTTTTATTGGTCTTGTATATCCTTTAGTATACCTAAGGTTGTGGGAGAAACTCCTCCAGAAATCAATTGACAGAGTTTCGACAGGTTACACATTAATTGTTTATTAGAGTTTCGGCAGAGTTTCGCATTTGGGGTTTTCGCCAATCATCAGAGTTTCGACAGGTTACACATTAATTGTTCATTAGAGTTTTGACAGAGTTTCGACAGTCATTAAGAGGTTTCGCCCACAACCTTAAAGTGGAGAGAAGATCTATAAGTATGTCAATGAATGAATTAGATGAAGCTGAGGCCAACCAACATAGAAATTCTGTGTCTAATAGTGATAATGATAACAATAATGATAATGATGGTGATGATATTGATAGAACAATTCTTATTGAAGATGATAATAATGGAAAAAAAAACAAGGCAGAGGTAGAGAGAGGTAGAGGTAAAAGGAAAACAAGATTATTTATTTGTTTAGAAACTATTTTTGTATATATTTAATATTAATAATGATTTTATAAAGCGATATAGCAACAAAGTATATTTTATTATTACATTAATTCTCTATTCTTTTTATTAAACGGTGTTTTTATTTTTGAATATTAAAACAAAATTTGTTTATTGCTTTATAGAGGTGAGTGACATTTTTGTCAATTTCCATTTTTTCAAATTAAGCAAAAAACTTGATAAATGGTTGGAATGGTTGGTGACAAATAGAAAAATAAATTGGGCGGATCAGATTGAATCAGCAAATGATTCTGAGCATTAACTTGATATTAATGTAGGTTTATCAAGTCATAAATGCTTATTATGTTAGAAATTTTATTGAAGAACATCTTGAAAGCAGATTGATGTTGGAGTTCTTTTATTAATTGGTAAATGATTTATCCTTTTGACATTGTAAATGGATTTTACCATAATAATACGAAATAAACATGTGTATGGAATTCCCTGGCAATTTTTATAAATTGTAATAGGCACTCATTCATATATAAATAAACTCCATATTTTATTCCTTTCTCGAATTTTTAAGGAAATAAATTATTTAAATTTCTTAGGTAATTAACAATTTGGTTGCAATAATGTCTTACACAAATGGAATGATCATATATATAAATAGTTGGTTAATAAAAGAAATCCAGTAAAATACTTGGCAAATAGTAATATATATTTCACTTTTAGAAGCACATTGATTCTGAATGTTTTTGAATGTTTCTCAGAAAGCGGAGAAAACAAGAAGATGGAGTGCTAGCAGTTGATCATGATGTTTGTCCACTATAGGTAAAGAAAAAATTTTCCTTGAAAGATGCTTTAAACAAATTAATGGATTGGAAGAGCATATTTCTAGATCGTGTTCTATTTCAAACTGCACTTAAAAAACCGGATCAGAACCATTTTCCCAAAGTTAAAAGTAACAGTTTTATTGGTGTTAAGTAAAATCAGTTATAGTGAGTACTGCAGAAAAATATAGCTAACTAGATGATTATAAATAATTCTTGTTTTTATTTTTTTGTACAGTTGACTCTGGCTATACCGAACCTGGCTATACCGAACTCTGGATATAGTGAATCAAATCTCCAGAACCGAATTTTTATTAATTAATAAATCTGTTTATAACGAACTTTATTAATAAATCTGTTTATAACGAATCCGAACTCACCTTTTTGAAGTTTCATATTTAATTTGCTCTTCCTATAACGAATTTTCACGTGAACACATGTAATATCATGTGTAACATAATGCAAAATTTCGTTTTTGATTAAACATTTTAAGATATCAAAAAAAACGTAATCTTTGCCACTCAGTACAAAATCATTCAATCAAACTATTGTCAAATTAATTACATATTATTAATTATTATTAAATATTTAGTATTAGTATTAATAATATTACGTCATGACTTTTTGTAAAAAAAAAATAATTCGCGTGATTAGTAATGTTGATATTTTATTATAAATACCCTCAATTTCCAGTTGATTTGGTAGCAATACATAAATTATATTTCATAATTCTTTATACCTTTGTTTCTTTTATTTGTTTTATTTCTATTCATTTGTTTCTTTTATTTTAATAAATAAAATGTCAACTCGAAAAAGAACAAGTCTTTCTGCTGCCCAAAAACGTGAACTTTGTGAGGCGAAAAAAAATAATCCAAGTTTAAGCAACGTAGAACTTGCCAGACAATACAATATTGGGAAAGCAACAGTGACTGATATCTTAAGTGAGAAAGAACGTTGGCTTGCTATTACAATTGAACAAGATAATTTGAAAAAATTTCGTGGACCTAAGTGGCCACTACTTGAAAGAGCTCTTAATATTTGGGTTGATAATGCACTTAATGCACAACAAGACATTACTGGCAATATTTTAAAAGAGAAAGCAAACCATTTTGCAACCCAATTTTCAATCAATGATTTTAATTCATCAGATGGGTGGTTGACAGGCTTTAAAAATCATCATGGACTTCGTCAATTCAGAAAGCAAGGTGAATCTGCAAGTGCACCATCCGTTGAACAATTAAAAAATGAACGGATTTCATTGCAGACACTTCTTGGTGCTTATAGTCCTGAAAATATTTGGAATGGTGATGAAACTGGCCTCTTTTGGAAGATGGAACCTTCACGTGTTTTGGCTCATGCTAAACTATCAGGTCACAAAAAAGATAAATCTCGAGTTTCAATTTTTTGTGCTGCAAATTCTCTGGGAACAGAGAAGATGAAGCTTAGTTTCATTCACAAACATCGGAGACCTCGAGCAATGAAAAAATTAAATTACAATAACTTGCCTGTTTATTACTATTGGAATAAAACAGCTTGGATGCAAGTTAGCATTTTTAACGAAATTCTCCTTACACTTAACAACAATATGAAAAAACAAAATAGAAATATTCTATTGCTAATTGACAATGCACCAGTGCATATTATTCTTGAAGAAATTGCAGAAAAATTGGATAATGTAAAGGTTGAATTTCTTCCACCAAATACTACAACTTTTCTTCAACCTTGTGACACTGGGATCATCCATTCCTTTAAATGTAAATATAGAGCTCTATTTGTTCAAAATCGAATTAAAGCATATGACGACTTTCAAGATGGTACCACAGATAAACTTGCTGATTATACTGTATATAATGCTTTAATAAATGCAGCAGAAGCATGGTCTAATGTATCACAACAAACAATACATAATTGCTGGTTAAAAACTGGCATTCTTCCAGAAAGAACAATCACTGAACCTTTCAGTATTAATGACGAGGATGAGGAGAAAGATTTGGAAATGCTTCTTGAAAAGTTACCAAATAGTAACAATCTTTCAGCAAATGAATACATTCATGTTGAGGATGAGAATGTTTGGACAGACCTCACTGATGAGGATATAATAGAAATGGTAAACCAGGAGGAACAGAGTAGCGAAGAGGAAGTTGAATCAATGGAAGAAATTGAGATAATAAGTAATAAAGTAGCTAAAGAGTCAGTAGATATTGTTTTAAAGTATTTGTATCAGCAAGGACCAGAATTTGGTGAGGTTGGTGAAGAAGTAAAGATTTTGAGAGGATTAAATAGACGGATTGGGTTAGTTATTCAAAAAAATCTTAAACAAACTGACTTAAATCACTATTTTGAGGATAAAATGATTGAGTAGCTTTGGCAGTTTATTTTTATTTGAATATAATATTGTGTTTGGGTTCAAATATTCATATACTATCAATCTTCTGGATAGATTGATAGTATTTTTATTTATATTTATATCTACATTTATTTATATTTAATAGTTATATTTATATCTACATTTTATTTATATTTGATAGTAAAGTCTGTTTGTAAAAGAATGTTTTATAACTTCATATTTAAAAATAATTCTTATAAATAAGCTTTCTGATCAATAAATATAATAAACGGCTATTGAATTAAATTATTTATTATATATGTTACCATCACGTGACACATCTAGCTGGCTATAACGAACTCTGGCTATAACGAACAAAAATTCTCAGAACAGGGGGTTCGGTATAAACAGAGTCAACTGTACTATTATATGATATACCAATATATAATTATCAAAATAAGCACTGCTCCCCAACAATTATAATAGTTATTGTCGATTGTTTCATTTAATCTTTTATTTTTGATATAATGGGACTGGTTTCTTAAATTTGCTAAATAAAGTTAATATCAAAAACCTCTATTTCAGTTTTTTTAAACATTTTGTTTTTAAGTAATATTTTAAAATTTCTAATGAAGAAAGTTTATCACACACAAAGAAAGATTTTTAAATAGTAAAATAACATATTCTATGAATTCACACTATTTATTTATTGCGAACCACTATTTAATAGGAGATTTTAATTGGCTAAGAAATTTTGCGTTTCAACAAGGATGGTGGTAGCAATAAATCCAATATTGATTTTTCTATATGATGGTGCGTAGTTGGAGATAATGACCAAACAAACACTTGCTTTACTGCATGTAAAAATTTTAATTGCACACCTGGTATAGATTTATTTTTAATATTTGGAGAAATAGCTTTTTTTATTTTGTACATCAATTTCTTTATGTAGAATATTCATTTTTGAAAGTAATGCAGACTTATTTTTATTACTACAATTTTTTTTTAAAAAAAAATGGATAATTTAATGAAACATCATCATAACTATTTAAAATCATTAAATTTATTAATAATAACTTTCAATTTATTTTTATTATATAGTTTCAATTTTTTTGTTTCTGGTCAATTATTAGATATATATAATCAAAATTCAATAGTGTTGAATGATAAACTCTATTATTTTGGAGGGTATTCTGTGAGTTCAGAACTTACAAACCAAATAATTTACCTAGGTTTATCCACATCATTTCCACTTAATCAAACATTACCAATAAAACAAATTCTTCCAAAATCAGCAATACCTCCATTTTATCGTGCATCATTAGCATTAGGAGGAGTTAATAATGACACACTTTATGTTATAGCTGGATATAAAGGTGAAACAGCAGAACCTGGTTCTACAGCTTATGGATCCATAGTTTATTCAATAAATACAAATTCATTTGATACATGGACTCCAGAAACCCTAAATGGACAATTACAATTAAATAAAATTAAAACAACAATTTATACACAAGATAATAATGGAAACACATATATAGTCACTAGATATGATCCAAATATATATAAATTCAATTCCAAAAGTTTGATATTTACAACCTTAACACCAAGTAATAGTGGTCCATCTATAACAGACTCATTTAATTTCAATTGTCATGCATTGAGTAATATTAAAATCATTTCAAACAATGATAATAGCTACAAATATACCATTAGTGATAGTAATACTGAAGCTGTAGGAGATACTAGTCATAAAGACATCATTGATGATAATAATAATATTAAAATTTTGAAAAATAATAATAGTAATAGTGATAATGATAATGTTCAGAATGACCAGTTAATTACAATTAATGACAACAATAATCAGATTTCTATATCCAATTCCAAGAGCTCTAAAATAATTACTCATAAAGTAATTCTTCCGTCTGGTGAAAAAGTCAATAAAATTTATCTATTAAATGATAATTAAATTTTTGAATGCAAATTTGTAAATTTATAAATTAGCATAATACCACTTACAATCTCTGATTCACAACTTGATTTCCACATTTGATTAATTATTGAAAAAAATTTTTTTATCATATTAATATTAAAAATTATTTATTTCTTACTAAATATATATACTTTCATAAATTTAAATAATTTTATAATTCTAAGAAATTAAATTTTAGAAATTTTCAATACTGTGAAAAATTTAATACTGAATTATTATTTGTATTTATCAACTTTAAAAATAAAACTTTATCCAATATAAATAAATCATTTGGATGATGATCATTCAATTTTGGAGTTGTCTCATGCTTTTCTTATTTTTGTCATTAATCTATGCTATCCTAAAATTCTTCACAGTAAAATGAATAAGCAAAAGCTTTAAATTTAAAGATTATTATCATCTATAATAATAATAATAATAATAATAATAATAAAACAAAGGGGGGTTACAGAAACAAGTAACATATAAAACTCTATGTATGTAATATATTGTACAGTTCATTATCTAACAGCTCTTCTGTTTCAACAAAGAAAACTGTTATAGAGAGAAACTGTTATTGAAAGTATATGAGACACAGATAATTTTAATTGGGCTCAAATTCTCAGTCTGTTATAGAGCAAAAACCATTATAGAAATGGCTGCTATAGAGAGTGAACTATATGTGTTTAAAGAATCCCACAAAATAAATGAACTTTGTTTTTTAGTCAAATAAAAGCTAAATATAAAACATTGCAAAGATCCACATAATGAGCAAGTTCTTGAAATAATTTTAATTCATTTGATTTTGAAAACAACCAACAAAATAAAATAGACTTTATCATTTTTATGGTTCTATTTGTAATACAATTTCTTTATTCGAATTTAAAAAAATTTATTCAATATCAAATTAAAAAATTTATTTGAATTATTAGTTCGAATAAACTTTCAATGTAATTTGAATACTCAAATTCATTACGAATAAAATGAATAATTTGAATAAACCTTATTCGAATAGAAGTCTAACCAATACATTCCTCAATTAAATGTAAGATAAAGTGTTTTTTTCAGCATGCATTCCATCTGCGCATATTTTTCATTTTTCATATTGTATTAGTATGTGGTCACACCTAAAATAAATAAAATATGAATTATCTTTTGTTTGTATGTGATTATATTATGATTTATTTATTTATTTTGTACTGTATATACTTAATTTTTAATATTGTGCTATATTTGTTTTACTATTTACACTTTTGCAAAAAATAATAATAATGAAATATGTCAATTAATTCTATGGTGTATTTGGATAAAAGGATAAATATAATTACACATTATCCTTTTTTTCCTCCTCTACTTGGGATTTTACAGTGAAGTGTCCCACCTTCATCATCTCTTCCTTTCATCATTATTAGTTAGGAATTCTCAATATTTATAAAACTATTATTTAAACTAGCTATAATTATTGGATAAGTTACATCTGGTGCAATCATCATTGTTTTTATTGCTATTCTTATTTTATATAGAAGAAAAAAGAAATCCAATGAAGTGACTATATGGTGTAATATCCATGCAGGCAATAAATTTTCCTTGCCAATTGGTTAATATAGCTTAAGCTGGATTTATCAAAAAAAAATTCAGTTGCAGATCACAAATAATTCAAATTTTCACATGACTAATATGACTATGACAATAATTGAAAACTATTTCCAGCAGTCGTAGTTATTTGCAGTAGCCATATCTATTTATAGCTATTTATGGTAATGGTAGCTACCAGACCAAACATTTACAGCAAGTGTCTTTAAATTCAATATGAGTATATAAATAAACTACACAGTTTATTCCTTTCCCGAATTATTGGAACTAAATAAATTAACAAATTATTTAAATTTCTTAGGTAATTAACAATTTGGTTGCAATAATGCCTTACACAAATGGAATGATCATATATATAAATAGTTGGTTAATAAAAGAAATCCAGTAAAATACTTGGCAAATAGTAATATATATTTCACTTTTAGAAGCACATTGATTCAACTGGCTCTATGAATGTTTTGAATGTTTCTCAGAAAGCATAACAGACAAGAGTTAAAAAGCATGCTTTGAACAAATTAACAGATTTGAATGAGCATATTTCTAGATTGATTTCAAACTGCACTTGAAAAACCGGATCAGAACCATTTTCCCAAAGTTAAAAGTAACTGTTTTATTGGTGTTAAGTAAAATCAGTTATTGCGAGTACTGCAGAAAAATATAGCTAACTAAATGATTATAAATAATTCTTGTCATTATTTTTTGTTACTATTATATGGGGCATGCTGCAACAAAACCAGACAAAGTGAACATTTGTATTACCAAAGATTTCAGGGATCAAAATTTAGTAACGTGATTATTAAAATTTCCCATTTGTTTAATATTAAGTGATATATAGAATTACTCCTATATAAAATAGTTAATATGAAGTTAATTTACATCAGATCTACTATGAAACCCAAGAATTATAGCACCATTAGAAGTATTCTAAAAAAGGAACAAGGTGAAAAAATTGCTCCTTACATTTTCAAAATAAATGATACTCAAACATTAGAAACTTATCTAAGAAAAGAAAGGATTACTTATGAAATTTACCAAGAAGAAAGAAAAATAATAAATGTTAAGAAAAGAAAGAAGCATGAAGATGCATTATTAACTAATAAAAAGCAAAAATCTTTAAATGGAAAATAACTACCATTTTCTTTAATAGGTGGAATGAATTTCAATTTATACAGAGGGAAATTTCCTCTATTACTTTTTTATTTTCAATCAAGACCATCTTTTAGTCTCTTTGACTTCAATTTGAGCAATTTGACCATTCTGTTGATCTTTTAATTTACTGTTTTCTTCTTCTAGATGATTAATTTTCTCTTCTAAACTTTTTATCTTATCTAATAACTCTTGTTTTTGCTTTTTACTTTACTCTTCTGATTTTTCCTGAAACTTGGCTACTTCTTCTCTTTCAACTTTTAATTCCTCTTTGGTAATTGATAACTCATTTTCTAGTTCTCTAGTTTTATTTTCTAGGCGAAAACTGAAGGCTCGTGAAAGTAGTTCTTTGTCAGAAAGTGGTTTAGTTGATTTAGCTTTTAAATGACTACAAAAACATCTGTTCCTATTCCTTTTTAACCTACCACATTTCTCACATCATGGAAGAGTATTATTATCATAATCTTTTTTACATTCACCACAGATAAAGACAATGTCAGAATAACCATCAGGAGTATTATGAGCCACCATTTGATGAGTAGCAGGAGCAGTATCAAAATTAAGGAGAGTTGGGTCATCAAAATCTAGAAAACAGAAGTTACACTCTTGTTCATCTCCCTGGGCTATTTCCAGAATTCTATATTCTAATCTCATATTGGCTTACTTGTTCTTTTGAACAATAAAAGTCTGGAACTTCTCTTTAGTCTTTTCTTTTACTTTATTTACTAATTTTTTGAGTTTGCATAATCTATTTTCTTTTTGTTTCTTTGGTAAAGATGGTAATTCTTTGGTTGTTAAATAATCTTTTCAGTTTATTTTCTGATTTTTAGCAGCTAAATTATTTTCTAATAAATCTATTCGGTCTTGAAGTTTGCCCATTGCAGCATCATGCTTCAACACAGTTTCAAACATTTGTCATTTTCTCCATTCCATGGCTTTATTCAGTGCTTTTTCAGCCTCTTCTCGCTCCATTCACACTTCATCATCTAACTCTTCTACTAAACTTATGTTTTTATAAAGGTGTTTAATTAGTGAGGAAAGTGAGATATGTTTTATTAACCCAAAATTTATCATTAAATGTAGATCATTTGTCCCGATTCATAGACAGATCACCAATTAATTTTGATTTAATTAGGGCATTGCACACCCTAATACATTACATACATAGGGGTTCATACATTACTTTTTTTCGGTATTACCCTTTTACACTTTTCCCATCTTCATGATCTAGTTTACATACTGGGCATAATGACCCCTCATTAATTCCATAGTAATCAAATTTTTCAGCAATAAATGTTTTATATAGATCTGAATATCACAACAATATCTTATTATGAAAGTAAGCATGGTTATGGGTTGGATTATTCTGTTTCTTGGGTAAAGTCTTTGTTTCAGTTTGAGGTTGAGATGCTGATAATGCATTTACCTCAGTTTCCAATAAAGCCTTTTTGGGATGAGATACAAGTGGTATACTTACCTTGGCTTCTGGTAAGTTCTTTATTTTCACAGAGAGTTAGAGATTTGAGGTTTGGTAGATATACTTACCTCAGGCAAAATTTCGGTTTCATGATTTTGGTGACAGGATGTTGTTGAAATTTCAGTCATGTGATTTGATTCCTCCTCTATATTGAACTCATCACGATCAGAAATATTATTATTATTGATAATCTTTTGAATTTGATCATTGGTCAACTCTGAAATAGAATTTGTGCAATATGTTTTAAGGTACTTAATTTTATCTTTGCCTATTTTTTCAAATAACTTATATGTCTTTACAGCCCTTTGGGTTTTTCTACATAAAGTTTTACGTGAGATTTCTGGAAGCTGTAATCCTATTTCCTTGGATCTTTTTTCACAGATAATAGTAATATTTTATCATAAATTATACCTTTTGCCTTTTTCTCACCAATTTTGCTATTACTATTTTTCATAAGATCATTATACTGAATTATGAATTCATTTCCATAGTTGATCCAGCATAAGGTTTCTTCCTGGTTAGCTTTCATAGCATAATATTCAGCATTAGTTGCTTTATCAAATAATTGAGCTAAATCAAGTAATGAGATTGTATCAGAATTTTGACGATGGCCCATCACTGAAATTTCAGTCACATGATTCAAATCTGAATGGATATTATCAGTGGAGCTGTGCGCAAGTGCATCCTGAATGCCATCAGCTATCACTTGAGCAATATTCTCAGTTCCCTTTTTCTTGTGTGATTCATTCTGGCTTTTACTTTGATTTTGATTCTTGGTTTTTAAGTCCAGAGCTTCAAAGACTTCAGGTGAATCATCATTAGAAATTGATATTTCAGATGGTATCAGCGGAGTTGACATTGGTAAAGAGGTATTATGTGACCCTTGAGTTTGAAGTTTCTTTTCCTTGCTCCTCTTTCTCATCATATCACTAACCTCTTTCTTACTCTGCGCATCTAGGAAATTATCAGTCTCTATATCTTCTAACAATTTAGACTTGGATGGGGGTGCACATATATTGGAAGAAATATCAGATGATTAAGGTTGTGGGCGAAACCTCTTAGTGACTAGTTGAAACTCTGTTGAAACTCTAATAAACAATTAATGTGCAACCTGTTGAAAATCTGTCGATTGTCGAAACCCCCAAAATGCAAAACTCTAATAAACAATTAGTGTACAACATGTCAAAACTCCGCGACTGATTTCTGGAAGAGTTTTGCCCACAACCTTATGGACAATGCTTTGTGGAGAACAGAATTTTCTAATTCGTGTGTAATATTGTTTGATGACTGTTCTAATTTCACAACCCTGGTATTAAGCTTATTGTTCTCAGCCTTGAGGTTAGTAGTATCTATTTTATTTTTCTCTAGCTCCTTGATTCTGGCCTTGAGCTCAGCATTTTCGGCTTCTCACTTGGCATTCTCTTCCATAACCTGTTTTAAAAGCTCGGCATTCTTGGTTTCAAGCTCAGAAATTCATTGCTTTAGTGAATCAATTTCAGATTGCATGTTTTAGTAATGGATTTTTTATATCTTATTATTTATTTAAAATGTAACTAAAGTATCAAATTTTCGGCGACGGGCCGTCATCAAAGATTCCAAAAAATATGAATCAAATATGTTTATCACAGGGTATCTGTAACAATCCCTGAATTATTATTGATCACAAAAAAAAAAATATAATAATTCTAATTTGGTAATTAATTTTTATTACCATATTTGGTAATCCATAAAAATCCTATTAACAATCGGTATTATTGTTGTGGTGCTAAAGAATTAAAGATATTATTATAATTGTAATCATATATTTTATTAGAGGTTTTAGACGTCATATTATTATTCATATTGTTAGATTGAGGAGAATACTATTATATTATTTATTATTTTTATATTATGTTTAATAAAAGTTATCTTTAACTATGATTGTACTTTCCGGGAAGTCTATAAGCTTTCCATACAATCTAGAGATTGTATTTTAATTTATTTAATTATTACAATATAATTTATAATTTATATTATTTTAAGACATGTAATTTTATTATTTAAAGGACTAAAATTTAATCAAATAAAGGATAACTTTTGTAATTTTAAAACAATTAAATTACCTTTTTATTAAAAACGTTAAATAATTGTGATAATTATTTGAACGTTTACAGTATCAAATCAAGACTAAATCATGAATAAAAACATTGCAGATCGCGCAATCTGATAATGATTAATAGGTTCTATTGTGGAATACTTTATTAATTTTTTATTATACTTTTATAGTAAGACTTAACAATTCCCATTTCATATCCCAAGAATATTATTTTAAGAATGCAAAGTAAATTTTACACGTACTCGCTAACCAATAATTCAATAATCACGTTACAAAAATGTTTCATTAAATCTAAATCCAATGTATAGTAAATAAAAACTTTAATTTCATCTTTAATGTCTTGATGGAGATGGTGAAGGTGGATCATAATAATCGTTGGAATCATCATGATCATGATACATGTGATGCACCACTGGATTTATGATATGTGATTTTTTTCCCATAGGTTTTTGCGGTGAACTCTTAGCATCACCCATATATCTTTTTAGTTTGGAGATTGAAAGTGTATAATTGTATTTCGGCGATGTGACTTTTTGAATTCCTCGAGTACCTCAAGAGAATCATCTAAACCTCTCTGTATGAAAACGAATAATGATCAGAATGAGATATTCCAATACCTTCAATACAAAGGAATGAAGATCTTTCTTACCCTAAGATTTTGCAAAACCCTTAATGCGTGGACCGGTTATCCCAACTGATTGGAAGATAAAATGCATCAATAAGAAACATTCGATAAGTTTTTGCAACGGGCAAATCCATGCCCCATATTTGTACTTCAAGACCTATGCACAAGCAAAGACAATTTATTAACAAATGCAAAAATTAAGATTCAGCTTATCTATTAACTTACCATGTATATGGAAAAACCAAACACGTAAATGTCTCAGAATTTTATAGTCACCATGATTGTATTTTGTAATTATTTCATTAAGGAGATCACGGCATCCCCAATTTCCCTTTACGTGATCCTTTAAATAACGAGGTGTATCCTTGGTTAAGTATCCACCGGATAATTCAACCATGCCGATTTCTAGCCCTTTATCATTTGGAGACTGGAAAGAACCATCAACTTTCATGCCCAAGGGTTTATCATCATCAGGTTTGAGGTTACGTCATAATAATCGCTGATTTGCACTAGCTTTAAGATAAATCTCACCTATATTTTTTGAAAAAACTTGCATATTTAATATTATAAAGAAGAATGAAAGTATTAATTTGATATTTTAATCAAAAAACATACGGCACGTATATAATGTGATTGGTTGCATTCACAAGGTATTGTAGTACTGGATGAATCATAAGCGATCCCAACAATGCTTCATTCTTATTTATACTATGGAAAGCCGATGTAGTGTTGAATATGTTTTTTGCACTTCAAAATTAAAATAAATTAAAAAATAAATTGTGAGAAATAAACAGTACTTCTACAAAACCTTTATACTTACAACCATAATAGGACATCTGTTACAAATGTCATTTCTATATTTTTCTCACGGTCAAATGTGACATTATAAAGACAATTTTTATACTCATTTAATGAATTCTGTTATTGATTAATAATAAAAATATATAAATAACATTTTCATTAAAATAAATGAGCATTTGTACTATTTGTACTTACAGTTTCTAATAGTACATTGAATAGATCTTCAATTTCGGTTGATAAATTGTAATGCGGATATTCAACACTTGAATTTAAATAATCCCAATCCTCTTGCTTAATCCATTCCGGCTTCCTGATTTTTGATCCAATGCGTAAAATACCTAGACATGACGGGCTACGTACAAATTACACGGGCTAATTTGTTAGATCAAGAGACATGAAGAGAAGAAATAAAGAAGATAAAACCTACTGCGATTTGTGCAGATTTTTAGGGCCACGAATTATTTTATCAATAGATTTGCCAGAAGGCAACTTCCAAATGTTGTCTGGACTGTCTTTATTGGGGTACTTTAAGTGACTTTGGACTGGTATCTGTTTTTCTGATAACTCAATATTTGGATCGATATCGTAGTTACTATAATCTACATCATCATTATCATCATCATAGTCTAAATCGTCGTCGTAGTTTAAATCTTCCTCATCATATTCTGAATCTGTCCTACTATCATCTATATTTTCTGCTTTATCAATAGTTTTTGTTCGTTTTGGATCACCCTAAATATTAAGGTCTTCATTAGGAATAAAATCACAAAGTAATAAATATATCTAAAAAAATGCGTACATATATCTTTTCATGATCATTGTTCTTTTTCCTTTTTGGCACACTTTCTTCGGATAATTTAAAAGTTCCAGAAATATTTTCTTGGTTTTTTCCTTTGGTATTTTGATTTTTCTTTCTTTTTTGAAGAGGCATCTTTTAAAATTGAATAAAACTAGAGTAACAACGAGTGGTGGGTGATAACCACCACCACCATCCTTAAAACACTTACCTAGCTACTGCTTTCCGATTATTGTCGGTACTTCTTTTTGCTTTGTTTTGACGGTACATTTTTTATATAAAAAGAAAGAAGTTTGTGATTGACAAACGCGTACAAGCTAATTATTTATCTATTGGTTTTTTTTTTGGTAGGACAGACGCAATTTGATTTTTTTTATTTTTTGACAGAGTCCAAGATGACAAAACGTGAGTGTTGTTGTTTGGTTTGGTTTGGGTCTCCTAAAGAAGATGTGTTAATAACTAACCAGAGGTACTTTTTTTTATTTGTATTGATTGATATTTTTTATTTTATATAAACATTTTAATTGGAAATCAAAACGTGGAGCAGATCTTGCTGGGTAATTAAAAGATTTTCATTGATAGTATTTTGTTTTTCGTAATCAATAATATTAATAATATAAATATTATAATCACAAGATATCAAGGCAGCACACCATTTAAAAAGAAACATTTTGAGTATGTGACGTTTGATTATCGGAAATTTACAGGTGTTGGTTGAAGCACGCATGCTGCCTTGAACACATTACAGTCATTCTCACATATTCCTCGTGTACACAAGGCTAATCTGACCATGGCTATCCGATGATACAACGATGCAACAGAACTCCAGGGGGAGTGTATGGCCCTGGAGTTTACCATGACTGCATCAATCGTCAAGGACCTTTTCACTAATCTTCTCAGACCAGAGAAGGCTGCTGGCATGCTGGTCGAAAAGTTACTTGCAACAATCCCACCTCTAGGATAAGGATGGCACTGTGACCAAGATGTTGCAACTCTGGAGGAATATCACGAGAATCTGCAGCTCATTCAAGCACAGAAGGTTACAATTCAGAGCAGGGTTGGTGGCCCTGAAATTGCATTTGGACTCTGATGTTAAGAGGAAAGTTGTAAAATAGTGTTTGTTTTGTATAATCACTTTCCTAAATGCTCTGTTTTTTTTTGGTACTAACCAATTTATAATTTTGCCCAATCATTCCTCTGTCCTGTAGTTAAAATTATCACATGATTATATACATCTTTTGTAAAACACTGAATCCAGGGAAAATCCAAAACAGCAACCCAGGTTGCAATCTCCTGAGCTGGAGAATTTTCAACCAGTTGCAGGTGCCAACTTTTATGCTAGTGTGGCAATAGCACACAGCAATCATCACACAAGCACCAGCTATCAGTGATCAATGCCCATATGGCGACAGCAAGCCTGGTTTGAGGGGAGGATAGGGAAAGTTTTGTCAAAAGCCTTCCAACTTGTTCAATCTGCCCATACTTGTGGAAAAAATTCCATGGTGCTAAGGGTGTGCAATTGCATTCGCTTGCATGTTTGTGATAGGAAATTTTTTAATTAAATCTGACACCTGCAATCAACATCAGATTTATTATTCATAAGGAACCATAATTGATAATCATGAAAAAAAATTTATTTTGTGAATCCCAGAGATCTGGGTAGACACGCATTATTAAAAGTTTCATTTATGCATGGCCTTAGTATTGTTACTACTTGGGTGATGCAATTGTTTGTTATGTCAATTATAACATCAAATGTATCAAATAATAATCATGACCATCATGAATATTTGATGGATGGAGGCATTCACATACAAAGAAATGATTAAATAGCTAAGTCTTGTTTATTTTTTATCTATATAATTAAAAAATTATTATTTATTTCAATGCCATTAATTTCAATAATTCTGAAATTGTTTGTTTCTCAGTGTTAATGATTGAATCAATCACACAAGTGATAGTCAGTTTTTTTTAAAAAAGGTTTGGTTGAATTAATGTCATTAAATGGTTTTTTTGATACATCAAACTCAGTCCAAAATCTATCATATTTTTATATTTTGAAATTTCTTTTTTGATTAAAAAAAAAAAATTTTCAAACATTTGTTTATTTTTTTTTAGTACATTTCAATTAGACTTTATTAGGTCAAATGATACATTCAGCAAAAATCTCAGAAGACTACATTGTGCATTAATTTTAAGATAAAAAAATCTGTTTTAATGTTTTAGTATAATCAACAATTTTCTTCAATTGTTTTTTTAGAAATAACAATAATTATCTTTTATTTATTTGTTTATCTGTTTTAGTAATTTTATTGGTTGGTCACAGAAATTATTAAACAAGCATAATTTGAAACTGTTGTTGCGGCAGATTCGCCCAAAATAATTTCATTCTTTATGTGAAAGGACCAACATTCATAGTATTTCATGGTTGAGAGTGCCAATGAAATTTTAAGTGGATATGGTCCAAAAAATTGGTGCCAACTATAGTAAACTGCAAAAAATTTTATTTTTCATTGGATGATAAAGTATTTAAATTTGATCCGATTATTACTAGAGTGGCAAATCATGAAAAAGCAATTTTTCAAAGTATGTATTATGGACCATGTTTTGGAGGTGGATTGAAAGGTGAAATTTTTAAGGAAAATAATGCATCTTGTTGTGTTTAACACAATTACGAATTTAGTATTTGATCTGGGTTTTCTATTGATGAATATAGAGTGTTTCAAATTGTTGAGAAGAAAGGCAAAGGAATTATCAATGATGATGATGATGATGATGATGATACTCTTGGTATTATTGGTAGCAATTATATTCCAAACAGAATGAAGATATAAATTATTAATTAATAAAATTTTAAATTTATATTGATTGAATTGAAGTGGATGAAACGTAGTGTTTATATCAATAACCTCTTTATGTAGTATAAATTTCTGCCCATTTGAACACATTAATCACATAACCCACTTTCACGCGGCTTTAAATCTTCATTTTCTTCTAATACATGTCGTTTAATTATTCTAGGTAATATTATATCGCATACACGATCTTCACGTAACAATTCATCGATAAATTCATCCATATGTACAATTATAAACCCACCATCTTAAACAAAAAAAATTTATATATTTCAATTTTTAACTCAAATCAAAAAACCAATTAAAAATTTGGTAAATAGTAATTACCTATTGTTCTTTTCCTTAATTTACGATAGTCATTCAATAATGGTTCAAGGTATTGATAAATTTCTAAAGAGGTTCCAACAAGCCTTAGGTAAAATGCACCTAATGCCCTCAAATATCTAAATTATATATATAAAAAAAACAGTCTTATGAGTATATATATTAAAAAAGAAGATACAATGTTTTTTATCACATACTTGTAATTTTCATCTTTAATAAATTCTATGATGATCTCTTTACTTGGTTGTAGTTGAAGTAATTTTAATGTCAAGCAAAGAAATTCAGTAGGCTTTTGGTTACCATATTGTCCACCAATTGATTGTAAGTCAATAGCTCGATCTATTAAAGTTTCAGCTTAATATAATTTTTTTTTGTTAAATTTTTTTAAAAAAGCCCCAGATGAATTCAAAAATTTTTTTTTTCATTTACCTGTCAATCCAAAACAATATTCTTTCCAATAAAGAGATTCGTATATCCTGGTCCTTATAATTTTTTCTATTAAATATTGTGGATTTGTTCCATGTATAGCGATCGCATCTGGAACTGTACGATTTGCCATTTATTTTTAAACCTTGTTAGAATAAAACATACTAATCCTTTTTGTTTTCAAATAAACCAAATAAGCGATAAATAACAAATTAATACTTCACGTACGTGATAATTAATAAAATTCCGCGGCTAATATTATTATTATTCTGTAAAGTATAGCACCTGATGCTTTCCCTATCCAATAAAAGAACCGTCTGTTGCTGGGATCATAATATGCCTCTTTTCCAGAAAATTTATTTCAATATGTTGAAAATTAACTAATAAACAATTATATCAAGAGTTTATGGACAATGTAAAGAAAACAAAATGGTAATTGACAAAAATATTGCTACAGCTAGAGCCTGCATCGGGTTGGGTCCCGTGTTTCAACCCGACCCGAACCCGAATTTAAATGAATTATATATGTAAATTAGCCATTTTTTTCGATCCTCTTATGAAAAAATTGAAAAAATTGATGATGCCATCTGGGTAAAAAATGAAATTAAAAGACATTGTGGCAATCTAACAATTAATGATGATAGTGTTGATGCTGACAGTAATAATGATGATAATTCTATGCAAGCAATATTATCAACTACAATTTCAACTTCAAATTCAAACGTAGAGTTAGGTGATTTTAGCAAATATTATGATGATAGTGATGATGAAGATGATGACAAAGATGAAGTTGATTTGTATTTATCAACAAAAATACAAAAAGATGATAACTTTAATATTTTAGAATGGTGGAAAGTCCATCAACATGTTTATCCAAGACTTTCAAGGCTTGCTGCCTATTATATGTTCCAATGCACCTAGTGAAGAGAGTTTAGTGCAGCTGGACTTACAGTTAATGAGCTTCGCTCAAATTTAAATCCACAAACAATTGATAGTATTCTTGTATAAAGAAGCTCATATAGTAAAATTTTCTTTCTTGTAACGAACAATTGCAATAAGAGTTATTTTTTAAATAAAATTGTGTTACAATGTTGTTAAATGGGTTGAGTTCGGGTTTGGATTGAAATTTCTTGTGTATATACAAGTTGGGTTTGGGTTGCAAATTATAAATTTATACGGGTTCAGGTTGGGTAACCATTAAATTATGATGACCCGTGCAGGCCTCTAGTCCTTATTGCCACCGCAAATTCCAAATTGGGCTTTTAGGATCATTTCTTCAATAATGTCAGGATCTCTGTATCGCATTACTCTGGTCCATTCGTCCTTTTTTAATTTCATTTCAATTATGACAAGTGTATTTTGATGCTGTGTTTTTCAATGGAATATTAATATTGTTTGTTGACAGACTGAGCAATAGGGCCATTCCCCAATCAATATGGAAAAACATTAGCAGATAAAAAATAATGTGAGCATGAAGATTCTTCATGCTGATGCCAAGAAAAATTCAATAAATTATTGATCATATGTGTCTGATTCATTTCATCAACAATCATTTTGTCAAATGTTCATTTTGTTGAAAATTATTTCGTCACAAAAAAACTTCATTAAACAAATTTCTCCTCACACTTCCCACACACACCGCTTTCCTTACCTAATTTCTTAACTAACTTCCCACACTCCTCACATCTAACTTGTTCAGTCTCTGGCTCAAGGATGAAATAATTTTCAATGAAATGAACATTTGACAAAATGAACTTTCAATGAAATGAACATTTGACAAAATGAACTTTTGATGAAACAAACTTTCAATGAAATGGGTGTCGATGAAATGATTGTTGATGAAATAATTTTCGACAAAGTAAATGTGACCGGGGGGTTTGGGTACATTTTATTACTTTTAAATCTTCAAAGAATGCTGAAATTCTTTTATTGTTGAATCACAATAAATCGATCATTAAAGCTTGGTGATAATGAAGTTGTTCTTTACATATGTGCTGATTTTGTTTGAACCCCAAAATCCAGTATGGTATGATCATAACGTTATGAATACTTTATACTAGCAAAAACCCATTGGTTTTGAGGTGGGGCCATTGGTTTGACGG